GTAATATTCCATTGTATATATGTACCACATCTTTTTAATCCAGTCATCTACTTTTGGGCATTTGGGCTGCTTCTATGTTTTTCCAATTGTAAATAAAGCAGCAATAAACACCCCCACAGTTTTTTTAATAGCGCACAGGAGAAATGAGCCACAGGAGGACAGCAACTTGAGCCTCCTGCCAATCTCTATACGCTTATTTCTCTGGGTTCTTTCTGGCCTCATCTCATGGTCCTGCCTCTCTGGGGTCACTTGCCCTCTCATAGCCATTCTGCCTTGCCGTCCCTGCCTGTGTGACACCACCCACATCACATGTGCCCACCCCATATTCCAGATGTCCACCATCAGGCACACACGCCCTGAGCCCACACCCCAAGCACCTCCTGCATTCAAGGCTGCAGGTGATAGCTACAAAAGTCAATGGCATAAATGCCTGACCATCGTCATCTACTCTACAGTCTGCTTTCCAGAACTGATGGTGACATAGAAACTTATGACACGTGAAGCATGTGCAGGTCACAGTCTGGGAGGTGCCCTGGCCATGTCAGGGCCCCGACAACTGCAGCCCCACCTTCCTCGCCGGTGCAGATGGCCCTGAGGATTAACCTTTCCAGGGGCTGAGTTCCCTGTCTGTGTTTAAATGAGTAGTTTGCTAAAATTAACTCAACCTGGGCCCTCCCTGGTGGTGCAGAGGGTTCAAGCACAGCACTAAGAAGCTAAAGCCACTTCTGCAAGAGTTTGATCCCTGCCTGCCCCGGAGGTGACCACATGGCCCAGCAGACCTCTCCTGGCCGGCCTGCTGCTCCCCTCAGCAGTGTACTTCGTCGGTCTGCCTGTTTTGCTCCTCACTCTGTCTCTGGTGAATCCTTTCACCACTCCTGTACCTCTGGCCTGTACCCCAGTTTTATATGAATAAATAATTTTTTTTTTTTTAAATTAACTCAATCTGATCTTAACTGGGTTGGGGAAGAGTATGAAATAGGTTTGTAGTGGCTCCACTCCTACCTTAACTAGTCCACCCCGGCACCTCTGGCCTGTACCCCAGTTTTATATGAATAAATAATTTTTTTTTTTTTAAATTAACTCAATCTGATCTTAACTGGGTTGGGGAAGAGTATGAAATAGGTTTGTAGTGGCTCCACTCCTACCTTAACTAGTCTTCTAGGTCAGGGAGTGGAGTCTCCTTAAACTCCTTTTTCCTCTGTGAAGACACTCGAGGCCATAGGAGGCTCATCTACAGGGAATTTGTGGGACCATACTCTATGCTAAGCATCTGACAGATGTTTTCTGTCATTGTTTTCAAGACTTTTGGCCAGTTCGTTTCCAGAGCATCAAACCCTGGAACAAACACAAGTGCACCAGAAAGGTCAGGTACCTGCCAGCTCATCAGTGTAGCGCTGACATTTCCCTGACTGCGTCAGGGTATGTCTTGAGTTTTGGATACAAACTCAAAATTAAAACTGTGATAAACAGAACTTTGGAGACAGTGCTGGTGCTTCAAGGGAAGGTTTGTTCCCCTGATAGGGTCATCTGCTATCCTTTCGTTGGCCTGGACTGTGCTGTTCCCTCGGACGCCTGACTTTCAGTGCCCAAAACTGGAAATATGAAAATTATATAGCAGCCCATGATTGTATCAATAGACATGTCATGCTCGTCTAAGCTCACACGACACCATCTGTCAACTGCATGTCAGCTTAACAGGGGTCCTCAGCGGAGGGGTGGGAACAGAGACGGGCTCAGTGCAGTGGCGTGCCCAACAAATGAATATTTGAAGCTCCAATTCAGTAACTTCTTCCTGGAACTCCAGAGTCCCTGATGCTGAGATAACAAGTGTACATGTCCAAAGCTTGTTACAGCTTGCAAGGGCACAACTGTTTTGTTAGGTACAGGCTGCAACACTTAGGTGGACCATTTCATAACAAACCCCATCCTGTCCACGTTGCTTTCCTGGAGACACCAGGCACCTTCCCGCCGGATGCCACCATGCAGCCCACCACCCTCCCAAGTCTGCCTTCGGCCTTCTCTGTGTTGAGACCACGCTTGACATGTTGGCCGTGTCTCAGTGCAGCTTCACTAACAGTCAGATGTTTCTGTGCTCACTTAGCTGTAGCAAGATCTTTTCACGCTCCAGCTTCTCATCCTTCTCCCATTCTGCTTTCTTCTTTGACCATTTATCTTCCATTTCATCATAAATGCTGTCCTGTGGAGGCACAAAGAAACCAGAGAGAACAGGACATGAAATAAGATGGCTGCAGAGGCCGTCAACCCCCTCCTGGGAGGGGCCTTCCCAACACAACACTGCACCCTTTTTGGCTTCCCTCACCAGAGAGATACCTTAATGACAGACGAGTGGGTGACAGGCGGGAGGATTTCAGTCCCACTCATTGGAGGACCCAGAAAATCACAGGAAATTCTGCATGGCTGTTGCCTTACTAGAGTTTGGCTTCCTTTGAGGATAGGTATATTCCCTAAGTTGAAGATTCACTTTCATCTCCCTTTGAATCATGAATCACTCTTCAATAGAAATGAGTGGAATGCCTAGTAGTTCACTTGAACACTTAGGCAATAATAAGTCAGTATCTATTTTCTCTCCAGCAAATCTAATTTCCTTTGTGGTTACATTTGTACAAACTGCTGCTAATTCTGTCTGATGACTCAGCCTTCATGCAGATGGGACACGGGAGAAGGCAGGCCTGGGTGGACCCTGACCTCTTTCCTAACTTCAGTGAGCAAATTTCACATCAAACTTGGCAGGGGAGCTTATTTGTGGTTGTTTGTGGGCATCTGATAGAATCCTGGGGGTTTCAAGACTGTTGGCCAGTTCGTTTCCAGAGCATCAAATCCTGGAAAGACCCAACTGGAACAAACACAAGTGCACCAGAAAGGTCAGGCATCTGCCAGCTCATCAGCCAGACATAGCTCATAGGCGCTGTCATTGTTCTGATGAATCTTGAGTTTTGGATACAAACTCAAAAACTGTGATAAACAGAACTTTGGAGACAGTGCTGGTGATTCAAGGGAAGGTTTGTTCCTTTGATAGGATCATCTGCTATCCTTTTGTTGGCCTGGACTGTGCTGTTCCCTCGGACGCCTGACTTTCAGTGCTAAAAGCTGTAAAGTCTCAGGCAAACAGGGTCACCAAAGGAGAGGGGCTTGATACCTCAATCCTCCACCTGTCCTCCCCCTTTTCCTATTTTCATCCTCCAAGGATGATCTCATGCCCTAACTCTGTTTTCCTGGGTCTCCATCAAGTCAGGGGGTTAAATGAAAGGATTATGTTTGAGATTATTAGGGAGCACCAGGCACTTTAGTTTAGTTTTTTTTTTTTTTCAGGCTGTAAGTTTTTATTTTTTATATATCTATTTACATTATTGTTCATTTTATAACAATGTTTACTTCCCTTCTCCCCTTCCTGTCATCACCACAGCACCCCCACATTCCTCCTTCCTCCTGATCCCACTCTGCCCCCCTCCCCTGTAGGATCTCTCTGGTTTATAATTGTCTGTTTTTGTGTTGTAATAACTACACTTTTCTCCCCCATCTTAGTTGGTTCTCTTAAGACACAGACTTTATGGATGGCAATTTGGTCAAATGTGTTAGAGGTCTTTAAAATATTCTCTTTGGCACATATTTAAAAAACCAGTGGACCCTCTCTGGTGGTATCCGCTCTGTCTGGTGAATTCTCTCACTGCCTCTGCACCTTAAAAAACAAACAAACAAAAAAACTTAGGAACAACAAATGCTAGCAAGGATGTGGAGAAAAAGGAACTCTCCTGCACAGATGGTGGGAATGCAAACTGGTCCCACCACTATGGAAAGCTGTTTGGAGTTCCCTCAAACTGCTAAAAATGGAGCCTCCATATGACCCAGCAATTCCACTCCTACGAATATACCAAATGACACAAAAACATTAATTCAAAGGGACACCTACACCCCTATGTTTACTGCAGCACTATTTATAATAGGTAAGATATGGGAACAACCCCAATTCCCAAAAAAAAATGACTGGATCAAGAAGATGTGGTACATATACACAATGGAACATTACTCAGCAATCAAAAAGATAAACTCATGCCATTTGCAGCAACATGGATGGAGCTGGAAGGGATTATGTTCAGTGTAAGCCAGAAATAAAAAGAAAAATACAGGATGGTTTCACACTAAGGAGGAATGTAAAGGATCCGAATAAGGGATCAGGGAAAAAAAAAAGAATAATCATAATAAAGTAAATGTCAAAATCAATAGGCAACTACAAACCAGAGACATTCTGCAGGGAAGGAGAGGGGAGAGGGATCAAAACAGGGTGGGAAGAGCACAAGGGACTATGGTGGTGGTACGCTGGTGGGAATTTTATGGGGCTATAGCTGGAATGAGAAAGCACACGTTGTACATAAATGAAAAATGATGCAAAAATATATAAAATAATATATTACATATAAAAAGAAAATGTTTATTCACTTTAACCCAGCACTACTAAAATCAAAGATATTACCAAGAGAAATATCAACAGTGGTTGTTGAAATGCTTTAGGATCTGGTGGCTGATTGGTCATGGGGGCCACCACAGATGGTGGGGGCACTCCTCTCTGGACGTAGTTAGTGCCTACAGGTCTAAGAAAGCTCAGTGTTTCTTGCAAGTGCCCTACGTTCACCACATCATCATCGGCAGGAATGTGTCTTTCTTCTCTTACTCTGATAGCTCACAAGCTCGTCCTGAATCTCACCTGATACATATGAAACATGTTCTTCAAATACTTATAGTTCTTTTCCATCTCCTCTGGACAAAAGAAAAACAACAGGGTCATTATTATTTCTCTGAATGTGAGCACCCCTACTTGCTTCCCCTTAGGTGGTGAAGTGGTGAGGTTGCGGTATGCCTCAGAAATCACTGCAGTAGCTTATTACAAAGTCAGATGCCTGGATCCCATCCTAGGCCTACAGAATAAGGTCTCAGAAGGGGCCTGTATTTGTTGATAAGATGCTGCTGAAGCATTTCTGATGCACCCCAAGTTCTAGAATTAATGCCTGGGATAAACCTACATCTGTGGGAAAAAAGAGCAAAACCTTGTAACTTGTATTTGCTTCTTTCTTAAAAATAACATTTCCAAGTTTACATGAATGCATGTTCTCTTTAGAAAACTGGAAAATTAGCATAAATAATCCTCTTAAAAAAATGTAAGGCAAAACAAAAGGAGAAAATCGTAGAATTTTTCCTTCCTGTGAAGATTAATTAATCAACAAACTCGACCCTTCTGCAAGGTAGACAATGGGGTAAATGACCAATATTTGCAACTTAGTTGTAGGCCTTTCCATCTTCTGGGCATAGGAAAGGCATTAATGGTCATTGCTTTCGGTTTCATCCTTAATCACTTCCTCTTCCTGAGTTTTAGGAGGAAACTCTGAAAGCCCAGTCACAGCCTGTCCATGGCCACGGGGGTTCCTAGGCCCTAGACCTACAAGCCCAGCCTCTCACCTTTGCCCAGGGTCATTCTCCCAGGTCCCAACCATACCTAGTTTTTCTTGGGCAGCCAACTTCTCCTTCTTCAAGGCTGCTTTGTAGTTCTCTTCCAACTCACTGAGCTCTGCTGCGTGAGCCTCTTTGAGCTCCCTGTGGGGCCCGGAAGAAGGCCACAGTCATCAGTAAAAAAGCCCAGAGTTTCTGTCATATTCACCTGGTCCTCTCTCTCACACAGGAGGCCAGTGTGCAACCTCCAGGGTCCTTAACGCATGATGTTTTCTCAAGGTGTTCAGCAGGGAAGGGGGAGGGCCATAGGTTTCTTCTAACAGAACAGTATTCCTGCTGGCACTTTTTGGAAACTGTGAGCTATATTATCACCCCAAATAATTTTAGAGCCTAAGGTCACTTCAGACTCCATCCAGTGTTCTAGATGAGTGTTAAAATGAAGACTGTGTAAATTGTCTAGTCAGGAAAAGCTTTGGAGGAACCTAAGTGCTTATTAGCGAATAAGTCAATATGAAGAGACTATCTGCTGGGCCTTCCTTGTTGGTACAATGGGTTAAAGCACAGCACTATGAAGCCATCCACAGCCACTGCAACACGAGTTCAATCCCTGGCCAGGAAGCTGACCTACATGGTGTGGCAGAACTTTCCTGTCTTGCCTGCTGCTCCCCTCAGCAGTGTATTTTGGTCTGTTTTCTCCCCACTCTGTCTCTGGTGAATCCTCTCATGACCCCCCACCTCTGGCCTGTACCCCAGTTCTTGTATGCATAGATAAATAAATCTTTAAAAAAATAAAAACACTACATGCAGTAGGAGTCTAATCAGCAGTTGTCAGGAGTTAAGGGGGTGAGAAAGAATAAGCAGAGCATGGAGGATTTTTACGGTAGTTAAACTATGCTATAGGATACTTGAATGGTAGATACATTTGTCAAAACCCACAGAGCATACAACACCAAGGGTGAACCCCAACGTGAACTATGGTCTTAGGGTGATAATGGTGTGAATGTGGGTTCATCAGATATCCCATGATGGTGCCAGAAGTCGATAATGACATAGGTTGTGTGGGTTTGAAGTCAAGAGCGTAGGGAAATTCTCTGTATTTTATACTATTTTATACTGTGGACACAAAACTGCTTTGAAAATAGTCTATTATAAGTAAATGAATAAATAAAAAATATTTAAGTTTCTTCTTTTAAAGCAAGTCTATGACTCAAAAGGAGTATTCTCAGTTCACAAGGACTTCTGAGGCTGCTCTTTGCCCACAAGGGAGCACTGAATTCTTCCTCTCACACAGACCAGCCTCCTCCTTTTACTTCCCCTGGCTTGTGTTGGTTTCTGCTCCACCCAGACCTTCTTCCTGTCCTAGCAGCTTGAGGAAGCAAAGGTGAGGAAGAAGAGGGGAAGCATGCTTACAGCCCGCCTTTTCCTTCCTGTTCTCTCCCCCCACCACAATTTAGAGAACAGCAGTTATTTACCACAGAAATCTCATAGAGAATAAACAACCTGTTCTTCTCAGGAATTAGTAAAAAATGAAATAAATAGATAAGAGTACAAAACTAAGAAGAACCTCTTTTAGGTTCAAGTAAAGCCATCTTGCTCTCCAAAGCCATGTGCTCACCCCCCTTTGCTAACCCTCCCCCCCCGCCCATTGTCATCCCACGCCACTTGACACTGTCTCAATCTCTGAGACCTGGACTGCCAGGAGAGGCCCACAGGCCCGTGTCAGAAAGCATACCTTGACACAAGCTACGCAACGTCCATCCTCTGACAGATTCCAGGTGGATCGGGATAAGCTCTGAAAAATCAGACTGTCCACTGCTAACTTATGTTATGACCTCCCTTTTTTGTATAAACATAATATCAAAATATTTTGAGCAACATTCAGTTTACAACTGGATTGACTTAGCTGAAAAAGGCAGCTGCTGGTTCAGGCAAGCTGCCCCAGGAGGAGAAATTCCTCTGTTTCCTGAGACAAAAGCCAAGCCCCAGGAGGAATAAGATCCAAGGGCATAAAAAACTCCTGGGAAGCTCCCTTGGTTTCTCTGAATAAAAATAAACTTCAGATAAGGCTCCCAGGGCATAAGGACTCACGGACAAATTTTAACTTTGACTACACAGGTGTTTGATATACAACTGTACAACTTTCTCTTATTTTACTCCCTTTTAAAGCAAGCACTAACTATTCTCTGATAGCCTCAAATTACCCATTAGCTTTTCACTGATAACACTGCTAACACAATTTATTACTATCCCAAGACCCCTAACAACCTTTTGCTAACAAGCTCACCCTTTCCCAGACCCCTCTTCCTTTGATGATTACTAGACAGCAGTATATGTGATAACTGTCACAAAAACATATAATTTAGCATACCATAAATTATAAACAGAAGAATGCTTTTTTCCCTTTGTCCTTGAGAATGTTTTATGGAGATATCTCACATTACTGCAAGCAACTATTTGCTACACAGTATAAAGACCTGCTGAAGGAAAAGCAGGAAGACTTGCACTCTATCCTGACTCCCGTGTCTTCCTCACCTCTGTTCCCCTCTCCCCCTTTTGGAATCTCTGCTCTCTGAAGCCTTCCCATCTTAGGGTCCTGCCTGTGCTGCCTCGAGACACCCCAAAGGTTGGAGCTGGTCTCCGACAATACCTGTTCTTGTTTTCAAAGTTCTGCTGCATCTCAGCAGAGCGGAGATCCATCTCATTGGCGAGCTGGAAGAGAGGCTGGCATTAACCACACAGGGTGGAGGACCCACGCCCGCTCCATCCGCAGTGTTTCCACTCCCCGCATGGGACTTCCACAACTCCCGAGGAGCCGCAACTGTGCACTGCAGGGGGTGGGGGATGGACAACAGTGGGGAGCTCACTAGCGTGGGGGCCCATCACTAGTGCGAGCCAGACAATTCTTGTGCAACTCTGTGTCTTTTGGACATTACTGGTTCATGGTCTCAGGGAGTGGAAGCTCTTCCACAGGCTGGTTTTGTGTGTGTGTGCTCTCTGAGAGACTGTGTGAGACTGTAGTCAGGGGATTTCAAATAGTAATTCAATTGAGCAGCCTTTTGTGAGGTGTGGCCTGGAAAAGCCAGAAGTCAGACTCTGCCTTCTGTGAACTTAACATCCGGTGGCATCGCTTTCCCATCTTGCAAGATGGCGGCTGAAAAGCTGACCAGGAGGTTACTGAAGAGAAGAAACCCGAAGCCAAGGAAGCTGATGCTGGCTGCCAGAGTAAGGCGGCCAAGATCACTGAGAGGGGGAAACCCCACTGCAGCCAAAACCCTGTCCGAGAGCGGAATGGGCAGCTATTCCCCATCTCTGTTACAGAGAGGCCATGTAC